GTTGAGGGAGTACTTAAGTAGAGGCCCAATATCAGTTTGCTACCTTGATACTTAACATATTCATACTGTTAGAAATTTTAAGAAGGTTCTTCCTTAGACTAGGTTAAAATGTATTTCTATATAGCTTGCTTTAAACATTTATCTCTAGTCAGCTTGAACAAATACCTTCCCCTTCTTTTCTCCATCTGCCTAAAATATTTGAAGGCAACTTTATGTGTCTGCATGTCTTCTATCAACGTAGCATTTCTCTCAGCTATTTTTGTTTGCAGTGATTTTCAGATGATGCTTCATACACATAGCTGACTTCTGGGTATATTTTAGTTCTAGAATGGATAAATGGACTTGACTATATTTTTAAACTTTTCCTGGCATATAGTTTGTTTCTCATTATCTTAATGAAGTGGAATTTGACATATTCCCAATTGATAAGAAATAAATCTTTATTTCCATCTTTATATTAGCTAACTTTATATTCCATAACTTAAAAGACAATAGTTTAGTAATGTCTTCTGTTTGAGTTTACGTTTCTGATCTACCTGTCATGTAAGAAAGTTTTTCTTACTTCCTTTTAACATGGCTAGAAGAAAAGTCCTACTTGTTTTTAACATTTACTGGAAGCCATTACCTATTCTGGGTGTATTAATACAAGGTGCTGCCTGTATCAGTATGTATCAGTAAATATTCAGACTTGTAAAATTGTCTTTTCTCATTTTGGAGCATATATATTGATTTTTAAACATTAAGTACAGAGAGGCAAAAATCTGTGGGAGGACTACACACTTTGCTATAATATTATTAGTAAAATGCAAATCTGCTGAAGATGTTTTTACAAAGAAACAGCAGATATAATATTAACATGGAAATCTCACCTAATAACGTCTGTAACAAATATGAGAAGGAAGTTCTCATATTTGGAGATAAATAAATAAGTTAAAGTTAGCCTGGCAAAAATCAGTCACTTTCCTCATCAGTTATTCTTTACTTTTCCCTACTTAAAAAGCCTACCTTTTTCTTCATGAAGTCAGATTTGCTCAATTAGAATTCTGCTTTATTGCATGTGGAGAAATGATTTTATTTCACTTTGTCATCTGTTGCTATATTAGGAATAATATATATTTTAATTTACCTTGTTAGTATTTTCTTTCCGTAATTTTATTTCAGGCTTATCCTCCTTATCCAAGTTCACCAGTTCAAGTCATCACTGGATATCAACTGCCGGTATATAATTATCAGGTAAATTAGCAGAAAACAAAATGATTTATGGTGGGATATACTAATGAATTATACCTAAAATTTAAGTAATAAAAGAGAATTAGTTTAGAATTGACTTTTCCCCATTTATTTATTTGTTTATTTAAACCATTTTATTGGAAGCTCGTACAATTCTTATCACAATTCATGCATAATCCATTGTGTCCAAGCACATTTGTACATTTGTTGCCATCATTCTATAAACATTTGCTTTCTGCTTGGGCCCTTGGTATCAGCTCCTCATTTTTCCCCTTCCCTTCCTTCTGCCCCTCCCTCATGAACCCTTGATAATTTATAAATTATTATTTTGTCATATCTTACCCTGTCCGACGTCTCCCTTCACCCACTTTTCTGTTGTCCGTTCCCCAGGGAGGAGGTTATATGTAGATCCTTGTCATCGGTTCCCCCTTTCCACCCCACCCTCCCTCCACCTTCCCGGTATCGCCACTCTCAGCACTGGTCCATTAGGACCCTTTTTATCAATTAGAAATAAAAGAATGGTATTTTAACAGATATGCACTTACTATTATTAGTAGGAATTTTTTTCTCCAAAACTATTTTCTAAGATCTGATTTGGTTTGATGTAGTATATTTCAGTAGGGTCTCTGAGTCTGAATCAACTCTGTGACAGTGGGATCTGATGTCAACTTGTATCTTTCCCTTTTTGCTGTCTACCCTGTTTCCCCCAAAATAAGACAGTATCTTTTATTAATTTTTGCTCCCAAAGATGCGCTAGGTCTTATTTTCAGGGGATATCTTATTTTTCCATGAAGAAGAATACGGTATACATTTATTGTTGAACAACAAAAAAAGGAAATTTATTACCTGTATACAGTATGGTAGTAATTGTCATCACAAACCATCATACCCAGACAAACTGAATCCTACAGTATCAAGAATTTCTTGTTACTTCCCTTATTTCTACATACAACAATCTATGGTACATTTACTCATTTATTCAATGACAGTTGTGTCATCTTCTGGAACATAACAATGCAAACCCTTATTTTGGGGGGGATGCCTTATGTTTCAGCAAGAGGCAAAACTGTAAGTAGGTCTTATTTTCGGGGGGTGTCTTACTTTCGGGAAAACGGTAATAGGATATCCAGGCTGATAGTTACAAATTTTCTAGGAGGATAGATTGAAATAAAATGGTTATTAAATTCATAGAGCGCTGGATTCTAGTTATATTCAATAGTATTAATTTTGATAGCTACTCCAAGATAGTTCTCTGGATCTTTTTCTGTACTTGTTACTGTATCTATGACCTATGACCATATTATAAAAATAGTCAGAAAACTATTATCCTTTGTTTTCCTGAAAGTCATTTTCAGAGAATTCAGAAAAATATATGGCATATAGATGAGAATAACCTTAAGAACCTAAGATATTAAAAATAATAATGTACTACTTCTGTGTCCTAGAGTTATTTCTTTTATTATGGTAAAATTAAAAAGCTAATCACAAATAACTGCCCATTATCTCATCTGATGAAATGTATTGAAACCTTTAAATGTTGTTTTTTGTTTGTTTGTTTGTTTGTTTGTTTTTAAGATGCCACCTCAGTGGCCTGCAGGGGAACAAAGGAGCTATGTTATTCCTCCGGTAAATGGAATTAGTCAACATGTATCTCATATTCTTTATTAAGAAATATTTCCTAGCTTAATTATTATATATCTCTTGACCTTTACAATGTTATCTATGCCCAGAAATGCATTTTAAGTACACTTTCACATTATATATTGTTTTAGTAATTTTTGCTAACCTTATATGATCTCATAAGAAACTCTGCTTTTTGTTCTCAGCTTATTTCTGTGTGCCTAAGTAATGGCTGCTATACACACAACAGGTGCTCAGATACTTGATACAATATACAATCCAACTCTTAAGAAATTAGCATTAATATTGAAGGTGCCTCTGGTTTTACTACCTATAAAAATCTGTTAAAGTGAAATTGAGAACTATTCTTGCTGTTAACACCAATTAAGTAAGGAAAGGAATAAAACAAAGGATGGTGTTGCCCTCTGGAACTCATGACACTGCTTCTGTTCATGGTTAGGATCAGGTGTTTGAAGGATGCAGAAAGCATGACAACTCCCAAGCACACTTGTGCTATATATATTGAAATTTATTTTTCTTAGAACCCTCTTAATTTTGATTATGTTGAAGCATAGAATATAATTTCAAGATAAAAGGCTGCCTTGTTGCATTTTAACTACTGTTTAAAATAGCTTCTGAAACAATGTAATTGGATTTAAACACAAATTATAGTTAAACTTTCAATGTCAGCTCACCATTTTTTTTAAAAGTTGCTTAGAAATGTATTTGTAAAGCTCTTTAATTATTCATTTATCATTTAAAATATAGGCTTATACAACGGTTAACTACTACTGTAATGAAGTTGACCCAGGAGCTGAAGTTTTGCAGAGTGAATGCTCAGTTCATGAAGCTACTCCATCCTCTGGCAATGGCCCGCAAAAGGCAAATGTCTATGTTTATTTATTAATACTTATATTTTCTTTATCTTTTTTTGAAGATTTATTAGTGGCTTTCTGAAAAGTAATTATCTCTCACCCAACTTCTTATATAGAACCATAAACATTAAGGAGCTACTGATAAATTTAGGACACCCTCAAAACCCAAACTTTTAATGTGGACATAAAACTTTGAAGTCATTTCATTGGTTGCTTTTACTGTACTCTAATAATAAATATTAGATAGTACTATGGGGCAGCATAATATGGGCAGATTTCCTCAGGAATTCTGTTTAAAAGCAAAACTAGGATGAATTCTATGTGTCTAATCTTTTGCCAATTTAAATATTTACTTAGCCAAATAGGAATATACAATTTTTTATGGTGTGCTTTCCGTAACAGCCATTTTTGAGAGTGGTGGAGTCACTAATAATATCTGAGATACTAACGTAGAGTTTCTTTTTGTCATTTAGAGCTTTATCATTTAGAACATGTTCTTATAATAATACTTTCATTCTTCTATTTTCTTGTTTTCTTGAATAGGTGGGAATGTGGATATAACTGATGTGCTGAGAAATATGCATAACACTGACTGACTCCCATTGAATTTGTGAATTTCATCCATGTGTTTCCTAGTGGGAAAAAATGTTAAGAATTACTCGATTATGGATGAAAAAATTTTCCAGATTTGATGCGTGATTAATATTTTGAAGGAAAAAAATCAACAAAAAGTAACATAGCTTACAGTTAATTACCATTTTTTGTTCTAGTATTATTGAAGTATTGAAAATGACTGTTTCTTATTTAACATGAATAAAGGAAAGAAAGCTCCTTAAGAAAAATACCTTAGGGCTCTGTTAAAATTTAATTTAATCAGCATTCTATCACTAATGTTCTAAAAAATTTAACAGAAAACATATAGTAAAAAATGTATGCATGTATAAATGTGTGTATACATGGAAATTACATAGGAATTAAAAAAAATAAGTATATGTGTTCATGCGAGCCACCTTCCCCCGCAAAAAAAGAAACCCTTAACTGAGCAAAAGGAAGAATAGACATTAGAGAGCTGGAAACTTTTCTGTTTCAGAAATCAGTGGATCGAAGCATACAGACAGTGGTATCTTGCCTGTTTAATCCAGAGAGCCGACTGAGAAACTCTCTTGTTACCCAAGATGATTATTTTAAGGTAGGAAAACATATTATGCTTAAAAATATGTATTTGCTCGATTTGAAACATTTTTCCCCCTATGTATACATATTTTGAGGTTACTTAAAGCATTAATTCAACAGTTGGTACTTGACTAACCTCTTGTAAAGCATTGTGAGTGGATTGTACTTAACCATGTATCTTACATGCTGTTCAACCTTTGATACAGGAAAATTTGTACTTAGTGAAGAAATATTTAACAGAAACTTAGAATTGAAAGGATTTGTGAAAGAATGTTGGCTTAACCAAACCATAGAAGAGAAAGAGCAGCAAAGAGTGAATTGATCAGATAACATGCAGTTAAACTGTTTGCAGGGGGCGTGGGGGTGGGGTGGAAGGGTGGAAGTATAAAGAGAAGCAGAAACTGGAAAGAAGTGGAAGTTGGAAGTGGAAGTTGATTGAGTATTGATGAAGTTGGAAAAGAATGTAGGCATTTTAACTTAAAAGTGCTGGTTTCTACTGATTCTACCACCTTGGACAAATCACTTAAACCTTCATAGGTTCCAGTTTTTATAAGTCTAAAACTAGAAGGCCAAGACAATAAAGTTTACAATATGATAAAGAACTAACTGATCACTCTGATGAGGTGCTTATTTTAGTAAAGGGAAAAATTTTAATAGCTTGATTGAAATAATCACATACCACACAATTCACCCTTAAATTGTACAATTCAGTGGTTTGTAGTATATTCCCAGAGATTTGTATTTTTGTCACTCAAAAAAGAAATCTTCTGTCCATTGACTGTCACTTCCCTAGGAGACACTTCCATTTCTCTCAAAACCCTCTAGCCCTAGGCAGCTACTGAAGCACTTTTTGTCTGTTTTTTGTCTTTTTGCCTATTCTAGACATTTCATATGAACAGAATCATACAATAAGTGATTTTTAGTGACTATATCCTTTCACTTGGAGCTGTGGTGGTGTAGTGGTTATTCATAGGTCTGTGATCTGCATGGTCGGCAGTTCAAAACCACCAGCAGTTCCTCTGGAGAAAGGCTGGGCTTTCTACTCCCGTTGGCAGTTACAGCCTCAGAAACCCACAGGGTGTCAGTATGAGTCAGCAATGACTCGATGGCAGTGAGTTTGGTTTTTTTTGGTTTGAGTATCCTTTCACTTAGCACAATATTTTCAAGATTTGTCCATGTGGTAGCATGTGTCAATACTTTATTTCTTTTGTTTTAAATGTATATACTACATTTTGTTTATCTATTTATCAGTTGATAGACATTCGAGTTGTTTCCACTTTTATAATAACAGCACTGCTGTGACCATTCATGTACAAATTTACCTCCACATAGAGGTATACCTAGGAATAGAATTGGTGAGTTATATGGAAACTCTATGCTTTATCTTTGGGGAACTGCCAGACTTGTGCAAAGCAGCTGCATCATTTTTCATTCAGATACTTTTGTACCCATGTTTTATGTCTTAAAACGGGAAGGAAAATAACTTTTCTGTATATGAATGGACATATTATGAAACATAGAAAGTCTTTGTGAACGGTATATTAAGGACCATCCTTAGCTATAATGTAGAAGAGTAGAGGCAGCTGTAGCACAATTGAGTTCTCACTGTTTAAATGTTCATTTAAAACTGATGTTACTCTGTTTACTCTGTTACTGTCTCAGTCTACATGGATAGTACGGTTTAGAAAGGAAAGAAATGGGTTTGTTTGTTAGCTTACCATGCTCAAAGTGTGAATAGTTAGCACTTAAAGTTTGCCTAGAAAGCATAAAGTCTTTAAACTTGAGTTTTCTCCTGGCATTGGACAAGAGCCTTCCTTCTGACTTCCCAGAGTTTTCTGCTCCCTCTGAGTCAAGCTTTAGGAATTGTCAGCCTGTAGCTTTCTGGTGTTCAGACCCATTAGCTAAATGGGTCACCATTTTGATTGAATGTGAAATCACTAAGGTTTAGTTTATGCTCTTTCCGCGGGAAAGTCTGTATATACTCTGTTGTCCAGCTTATTTATACTGTTAGGTTTTCCCTGAAGATATTTCACTTTGTTTCCACTTTTCTAGGCTCTATCCTAAATCAATTACTCTCCCAGAAGTAAACCTTCTGTATATGACCACATAAAACCCCACTGCCATTGAGTTGATTCAGACTCATAACAATCTTTAGGTCAGAATAGATTTTTGCCTTTGGGGGTTTCTAAGGCTGTAAACCTTTATGGGAGTAAAATGATTAATCTTTCTCCCACAGAGCAATTGGGGGGTTTGAACAGCTGATCTTGCAGCTAGCTTCCCACTATGCTACCGGGGCTCCTTTCTTCATATGAAAGCTGAATGTAAAACCTTATTACAGAATGACAAACCAGTTACTAGATTATACAATGCTACTTCTCTTTATAAGAAGCTATGGTGGTATATAGTAGAATTAAACATTGAGCTGCTAACCACAAGGTCAGTGATTCAGACCCACCAGCGCTCCACAGGAGAAAGATAAGGCTGTCTGTTCCCATAAAGATTTATAGTCTCAGAAATCATAAGGAGCAGTTCTCCCTCTGTCTTGTATAGGGTCCCTAGGAGTTGAATTGGACTCTGACAGCAAATTTTAGATTCTTCTTTGCAGTGATATATGAGGGAGTTTCAAAATTTTCATAGGAAAGGTAATGGAATTTTCCATTGACTGTTTTGAAGCCCTTTCATGTTTCCATCACAAGTTACGGCACTAGTTCCTTTAAAATAGACCAAGTATAAACATCTTTTAACCTAAAAGCATGGTATTTTAGACTGAAGTGGAGTGCAGTTCTCAAACTCTTTTTTCTATCAGATACACTTCAGTTGTAAAAATGATAGTTTTAAAATTTGCATACATGTCTCATCGATTATCTTTGGAACACAATTGCTAAAGCATTAATAATGTACATAAAATGATATTAAATATCCTGAATTTAGTGGGATTTCTTTATAAATCATTGGATGAAACTAGTCTCTGGTACATTTGTTAACCCGAAAGTTCAATAATGCTTCCTCAAGGAGTCACCTTATTCTCTTGTTTATACTGTTTGTAAACCCCACATAAATGCTTAAAAGTATGTTGCATCTTTCTTAGCTCATCGTGATAATGTCAAGGAACTAAAAAGGATTATATTTGTCTTTTTTTAGGATAAAAGAGTGCATCACTTTAGAAGAAGTCGGGCAATGCTTAAATCTGTTTGATCCCTTTTGCTAACTTTCTGGTCTCGTGAGCAGTTGATGGTTTTGAAGAAGAGACGGAAAGTTCTTCACTATAATAGAAATTTAATTCTGACTTTTGATAAATCACTTATACTTTATATAGAAGTTAGAGTACTTAGTTTTATTTTGCATTGAAACGTTCTTCATTAGGTATTATCATAAATACTTGTTCTGTGTAGAATATATAGTTGAAAGTAAAAAATAATCGAGAATGAGAGGAATAGCTTGTAAGACTTAGGTGTAAGGAATTTTTTAAATTGATATTTTATGTTTAAAAGTAAGCTCTGATTTTAAAAAACTGTTTTAAAAATCTGTTATTTTGTAAGGTCAGAATTTGATAGTTTGAATGCAAGTATTCCATTTCTCCAACAAGTACCTGAAAACAATACAAAATTTACACTATTGTGTTTTGGATTTATACTTTGTCTAGAAATTTGCCACAAAAGCAGAGTTTTTAAAACTAGTTTTAATCAGTGGAACACAATATATAATTAGCTTTATTGAAGTCTTCCTTATCTGAACCCAGTAAAACAGATTCTAAACAAACTGTCCAATCAGTGGATTTTAAGTTTGTTAGTTCAAAATACTTATTCTGTTACCTAGAATCCATGCATAGATATTCTATTTCATTAGAATGGTAATTAGGATAACTAAAATTCTGGCCCTATTTTTTTTTATCTAAACAAACTAAACTTAGATAAGCTTCTCAGTGAGTTACCATTCTTTTATTCTAAATTCTTTTGTTTTTTTTCTTAAAAGGCTAAACGCAATGGAAGTATCTTAAATTGTGCAAAATATTGGTATTAAAGAATGCTGAGACTTTTTATGTTATTTAAAAGTAAATCAGAGTATCTGAAAGGAATTCTTTTTATAAAAAATTAAAACTTAGTTGTTATAAACAATTTAAGTTTTTTTTGTTTTTTAGCCTGTTCTATTTTCTTTTTTAAAGTAAAATACATAGAGGAAAATCCAAATATAGTAGGTGGTATTAACATTTCTTAACCACAAAAGTTTGTTTAGTATACCAATAAAGTTCTAGAGTCAGAGTTAAAAAATCTATTCCCTGGATTAGCTCTTCTCACTGGATCTTGTGATGAACAACTAGAGCAGTAGAGTCCTTTTGTTGTACCTACAGTTTTGCTTTTCCTGCCTGTACTGCTCTTCTTGTGAAAGGTTTGCTCCTAGAACTGGTAATGTCAAGTAGCAAGTAGTAGTATGAGAAATTCAAGGAATAATCTTCCAAAAGAGAGCAATGTCGTAGTACCATTCTAAAGGAAATATTTGTATCAGCATTCGACCTTCTTTAGACATGAGTTTACAGTGGTTTCATGGTGTTTTTCCCATCAGATTCTAACCTAAAATGCTAGAGACACCATTTATCTCAGTAAAATGCAGCTTTATCACCAGTGCCCATTATAGTCTGTAATTTCTAAATCTGCAGGAAAGAGTCCTTAAACTTTGAAGGATACCGAAGAGGACTTAGGCTTTTGAATTAGAAATTTATCTGCAATAACCCCTTTAAAATTCTCTCTTGCTTTCTTCTTCCTCTTCTTTTTGGTGGTATAATATTCCTCCATATATTATTTTGTGATTTAAATATACAGCTTATTATAAATGGTTCTAAATTCCATTCTAATTCTTACAATATGACCATAGGGAAAAGTAAGGGGATATGCTTTTTGCTTATCTGCTATACTGTTGGAGTGTGAAATATTTAAAATAGTAAGAAAGAGACAAATTCCTGAGCATTTCAAAATGGATAATTAATTAAAACTTAAAACATGTTCTTATTACCTATTACTAATACTATCTTTGCATTAATGAATAAATAGAAATAAAGAAACTTTTTCCCCAAAAATATTTCTGATCGACTTATTAATGTCATATCTAAAGAAATGGCTTGAAGTAGGTCTTGGTTGGTGGCTGAAGCTTTGCTCTTTGATACTAAAAGCAAGTTCTGTTCAACTTACTAGTCTGACAAAGTTAGCTTATGAAAGCAGTTTTGGGTACATTGAAATCTTGTTGCCTTGTGAAATTAAGAGATGTGCCCTCATGAGAAAACATTCCCTCTTATGCTAGGATGGAAATGGTTAACCTGAGTTCCACTGCAGTGCATCCATAGTAGTGCCTGGTAGGAATGCTGGAGAACACATCCTCACTTTGTATTTCTCATGGCCAAAATCTGTTTCATTTTAGAGTCTATGAAAATCTTTTGTCTGCTTACACATTGGGCTTAATTTCACTGACCCTTTAGTTTTGAGGTATTGCAATTGTTTAATAGAGTTTAGGTCTTTTCACAATGCCCTTTCTACATATGAGGATGACTGCTGCTTCTAGTTTTAGCTCCAGTATTTCCAGTCCTATAAACTGAGATCAAAGGAAAGGAACTTTGCCTTCTGGGCATTCTTATGTTATAGTTCCCTGTAGAAGACTGTCCTACTGACTCATTACCAGAAAATTGATTATGAATTCTACAGTGTCTTCTTGTCAGCAAAGTTAAAATTGTATTTCTAATGTATAATAATTTGTTGAAATTTGGTAATGTGTGTGTTTATATTATAGCAGCCATTATCTAGAATCTTTGGGTAGCCCTGTCCAAGCCAGACACTAAATTTTGAGACCCTGAAACTGCTTATAGAAGGGGGCTCTAAAATGCTTATGGAAAAATTCCATTACCTTTTAGTTCCAGTTTTCCATGAACTATTTTTGAAGCCCCCAGCGTCTGTAAACATGCTTTGATGATATCTTAGCATATTTTCAGCTGAATATTGCATTTAAAAATCTCATAAACAAGTTTAAATATTTGTAAAAATACTGAAGTATAACAAAATAAAGTGGTTCAAGATATGTTGGATATAAGAACTGCATAGTAGTTCCCTGTAGTTGTAAAGCCTCTTTACTACTCCCACCTCAAAATTCTCTGGGCTGTTTTTAAAGGTAAATACATTAAAATTGGCTGCTGTATTATTTGATCATCTTGCCTGCTTGCATTATCATTTGAGGGTAATGTGGAGCAGCACTCGGCACAGTAATGAGGCAGCGTGCCACTGCCTTCACAGACATGGCAATAGAGTAGGTGGGGAACCATCGAGTAGAAAAGTGGCAGTGTTTCTCATTGACCAAATCTTGCTAATAGGACCAGCTGTTGGGTATGTTCATTTGGAATCCCTGAAACACTTCTTGGAGATGAGGATTGCTCCTGTACATATTTTGATAACTTTGTAATCTAGCCTTTCTCAACATTATGTGTAATATGTCTCTGTGTGTAACTGGTATTTCTGAGCAGTACCTCACCACCCATCATAGATTCTGAATTTTCCATCTGTAGACAGTACATTTGGTGGTAAAAAACAATAAACATCAGAAGTTTAAACTATAAACATGAGTTTTTTGAATGTGCATGCAAAATATTCAATCTGCATAGCAAAGAAATGATAGGTAATTCTGTATCACATTTAGAGTTTAAAAACATCTGTCCAATATGGCTGTAGCTGTGGGCGCATCCCAAGAAAATGCAAAAATTGTCTCCTAGTACAGAAGTTGAAAGTACGACTGTACAATTAAACTCTATAGTAGCTATATTTTACATTTTTAACTGGTCTAAAAGTTTTCTAGTGGAATCTCTAGTTCATTTTCTCCAAGCACACAGAGGCTTTATATCTTATGTGCACCTCCATTAAGGCAGCTTGCCAGGAATATGCCTTTTCCCACATATAAAACTCCCAGATTCTAGTTCACTAGGTCTTTAACAATAGAACAAATGCTTGCATTTCTGGGATGGCTCAGGTCATGAAAGCTCTTTCTAAATTTGAAGCAGTAGGAATATTTCAAGCAGTTCAAAAAGTTGGAGATTTTATAATCCTTAATCAGCCCCTTTTTACAAAAGATAACAAATCTAACGAAAGTATATTCAGGCTCTAATCACCTCTATTGTTTTCCTCCAAAATAAAATGGATAGTTGCAGACTATTTTTTTCTCAATCTTGGTGAAATGACTTACTGTAGAAGAAAGGCAAAGCTGACACACCACCAATTTCCACAGATACAGCCAGACCAGCTGTTTATAGTGGTTCTGCCCCTCTGCTTTTGTATACTTGTTAAGAATATGCATTACCTGTCTCAACCCTCTCGAATAAATGTAGCTGGATCAGTGAGACGAGGGATCATTTAAAATATGGAGGGCATCTTGTCTTTTTATTTGAGCTTCACCCCAACTAGTATTTGAGCAGTGCGCCAGCTCTATGTGAAAGACTACTTTTGTTCTTTAAATTCTGAACACAACTTAGTCAGTCTGATTGGCAGCATGTCCCTCTTTTACAAAATAACATGTATATTGTACCCTTCAAGCTTACATTCATGATTAGATAAGCCCATTATTTCACTGGATGAGTTTTGTTTTTTTTTTTTAAGGATAATTTCACAGGAAAGGCAGAATTTCTGGTTTGCTTTCAGAAAGGCAGGTTTCTGATCCTCATTCTCAGATGTTCTTACTCTAGGTCTGAGGTGGGCCTCATAATCTGAATTTTTAAGAAGGTCCTTGGGTGATTCTAATTTCAGCACACACTTAGAAAAATGTTTTAAACGAATTATCCAGAGACCTCTCAAATGTCAAGAATCCTTAGTTTGGGGATAGCAGCTTTGGAGAACTGTCAAGTTCATCTTGATTTTTGCATAAGAGATTTTGTTGACTTAATTCCTCTTTCCTTGCCAAGTCTGTGCCCAGGAGAGCCACTTTTCCACAGGTAAGAGTGAAAAGTGAATGGGATTGCCCCCAACTAAATTTGAAAACGGAGTTGTGGCTAGAAACAAGTGTTAAGAAGGAGTGACTGCAAAGACAAAAAGGACTTTTAAGGTCAGTTGCATGTAAAACAAGAAAGGAGCAAAACATGGCTGAGAAGGGAGTAAAGTGGGCAAGAGAGAGGCAAAGATGCTATGTTTGCTTCCTGGAGGCAAGGGCAACCATGCTTTGGGCTTACTTGGCAAATTTTAAAAATAGATATAACCAATCCTTTTTTGAAAACCATGACTGGTTCCTTTTACCCTATTGGAATGAACAAATATTGCTGATATCTACAGTAAGAATAACAGATGAATTGCAGAAATAACAGGTTTCAAAATCATTGATCTTAATATGCCCCAAGATATTCTTGTATCTAAGTCTAAAATGATGAGGACTCAACTTGGGTCTTACTGTCCACAATGCAAAATGGACAATTTAGTATTTGAAGGAAAAAAAAGATCACAAGCTAGATTCTGATAAAATTTACTGTGTCAGGCTCTGTGGTATTAGAAAGCTCATCTCATTTAGTCCTCACAGCATCCTAATGAGGTGAGATGCCGTCCCTTTGTGTAGATAAGCACAGAGATGCTTAGAGCCTGAACATACCTAAGTCACAGCTAGTTTGCTGCAAAGTCAGGAGCCCTCAAGTTCAACCACCACTCTACACTGTGACTGTCACGTGTCAAAAATACCTCACCCCGCTCCTGGCAAATAATGTCCTAAACAGAATCCTTATATATATAGACAATGTGTATCAAAAAACAATCCAATTGAATGATCCAAGGTCACTTAGATAAGCTATCTAGACCTACAACGAAGACTCAAGAAACCCAGTGAAATGGATAAGGATGACAATTCTGGATCCAGAGCTTGAAAGGAAAGAAATAGGTCAAATATCAAAAAACCAAACTTGTAGCCATGTAGTCAATGTTAACTCAGTGACACCCCCACCCCCACCCCACCCTAGGTTTCCGAGGCACTAATTGTATACGGGAGTAGAAAGCACAGTCTTTCCCCCTCAGAGCTGATAGTGGTTTCAAACTGTTGTCCATGAAGATTGCACCCCAATGCATAATCACTACACCACCAGGGCTCCTAGATAAAAAATACATGAGAGGAAAAGACTAAAAAAGATCAAGGAAGCTTACAGAGCTATAAATTACCAACTGGAAAATTGAATTATTGCAAGCAACACCTTGATGAAAGGAGCCTGATAATACTCTAGAGGACTGCCACCAGCCACATCAATGACCAATGATCAGAGAACTGGGATCTTCCTCCTTTGCACACCATCCAACTAACCAGAGGCATGTTCCCTTCATCCTGGAAGCTGGTTGAAATACTTCCTCACCAATTGGCCAATGCAGTGCCACTTTTACCCCCTTTATTACCTGCAAGCCACTCTGGGAGAAAGATTTACAGCCTTGGGAACCCTACTTAGGGTTACGAGTTCAGAATCAACTTGATGGCAGTGGGTTTGTTTTCTTGTCATTTTGGTTCTTTCCTCTTCCCCACCACCTGCTTTTATTCTCTCTTTACGCTTCACTTTTCCTCACTGATCCTACAGAGCAGAAGTCCCACCTCCACAATCACTAGTACCTCCCTGTGCCCTTTCTGGGTCAGGGGTGGACTCCCCCCTACAGCTATGTGTCACATCAGTACTTTTGCCAGTATTGTATTGCTCCCCCCTCTTTTCCCCATCATCTTAGCTTTTTTTCTTTCATCCTTCCTCTTCTCCCCATTTTGCTAGGAGATCCCATGGAACAAGTTCTTGGCCTCCCTTCCCCCTCACTTATTTCAAGGTCAGCACATACTCTGCTTAACTGCAGCTGTGTTTTTTGCTTAGCACCCCAGTAAACTCCCACACACACTTTTTTCTTTTCTTCTTAAGTTTTCCTCTCCATACCTTTTATTTTCTTGCTGCCTCCATTTTACTTTTTTTTTTTTGCAGTTTCTTCACTGTAGCATGAATGTCTTGCCACCTACCAAGTCCACACTGAGTAGCACTGGTTCCTGACCCTCT